AAGCACAGAGGGGGAAGTACATTTTCTAAATGATTCTTTGAAATTTACATATGGTCATGGTAAGATAAAAACAAAAGTACGTTCGTTCGGTTCTAAGAAACATATTTGAAAGATGAACAAATATAGTGATGATTTTTAACAATGTCTAAACAAAAGTGAATAACTGTACTTAAAAACCCTTTGTGCTATTCTGAGTGATTAGGTTTGATTTGGAGTCTTACGGAGGGCATCGTGAATTCAGATGTTACGATTTAAATTACATGTTATTTAATAAGCCAGAAGGCGTAGGATTCCATAGGAAATATGAAATCCACCTTATGGATCTGTGAGGTTATTTTAAACCAGAAGATTGGAACTTTTTATTGCAGGGATTAGATAACAGCTTCGTATTCACTCAGAGACAACAGAAGAGAGAGAGTCAAGTTTAAAAGTTTAAAGATTTATTACTAAACAAATTAAACTGACTAACTTTAACACAAAATGTATGGTGTAACTAAGGTGGATGAGACGGAGAATGGTGTCATGTGGAATGTTGCTCAGAACCAGCAAATCCGAAGAAGCGATTAGTTCTGGTGGGAACTGAAGGTGATATATTCGCGTTAAGCTTTGGTTAGGAGATTCATAAACACATTCAATGCCATTTGTCAGCCTACGTACCCTTGTGGAAGTCCCTGTTAGATCAGGAATGTCGAGGTCCAGCTTGACCTTTTCTGAACCGAAGCCGGTAGGAAAAGCAGAGGTTGCCGACCAGACCAGTCTTTGAGAAACGACACGACAGTTTGTTGGCGTCTGGTGAGACCCGAACCTGGGTCGTGATGGTTCAGCTTTTATTCTGAAAGGAACCGTTGCAGCAGGTGGAACAACAACAGATTTTATCCAGCTTGTCGTTGGTTCTTTCGGCTGAAGAGGAGAGTTACGGATTGGCCACTCCGACAACTTCTCTATAACGCTTTGAACCGGCGTTAAAGATGACGTGGGCATAGTTTTATACTTCGGATGTTTTGGTTTATGGTCGAATGAAAAGATGACAGATTTACCAAACACCACCAAAACCACGCCTCCGTCAGATCTGGCAGATTCTGATTGGCTCAGTGAAAGTAATGTGTCGTGTATTTTAACGCTACGTGAGATCAGTCCTAGTGGAAACATTTAAAGTCATATTACTTGTAATATTCTATAGGATTATAATAAAGTAATTAATATTTTGATTTCACAGATTGGTCACATCTTATTATTGACTAACACTTTGTTTGATTAGCTTTATTAAAATAGAGTTCTTTGATTTATCAAAAGGGGAGAGTCCATTCTTCATTCTTCTGTTGAGCTGGAAAGAAGTAGGTTAGAAGCAAATACATGAGACCTTGAGGCCATATCTCATGCAGACTAGTTCTGTGCAGAGGAGAGGAAGAAAATGACTTTTGGTTCCGTTACACAAAACCGCAGCAAATCTAAAGTAGAATAACTAGAAGGAAACACTTTAAAGGGGACATATTACGACTTTTTCTCCAGTTATAATAGTTCTATGGTTGAAACAGAACATGTTCAAGAATATCTTTGCACTAAATCCCTCACATAAAATGATTTCTGCAGTTTTATTCTTGACATTTTCAGTACCTTCCAGAATGAGTTATTTCAGGGCTCTGCCATATAAAGAAAGAAAGCTGGAGCTGGGCACGCCCACCCCACCTCAGTCAGGCTGCTATATGATGAGAAGCTCTGTTTTGTGGGGCGGGCTTAAGGGGGAGATATGGTTCACTGCTAATTTCCTGTTTGTGATGTCACAAATTGGGAATTTATAAAACTACTCATTTTAGGCACCAAATTCCAAAAAACAACAGACAGAAAATGGTTGGACGTTTTATTTTTTCACAATTAAGTGTTTATAGAGGCAGTAGAGACCAACATGGTGCTCAAAGGATGCAAAAGGTGAGTTTTGCATAAAAAGCTCCCCTTAAAGTCCACCCCCTAACTCAAATCATGTATAAACAACCAAATGTCCACCATTCTCAATTAAAGAACGCAACACCACGGAGTGAAGTTGCCAAAAATTCTTCCGTGACTTAAAACACATAAGAAGATAATTACTTCCACTTACTGCTGCTAACAGTGACTAATCCCCTAGAGTAAAATTTACAGGTGGCTTTATCTTAATGAAGGGACACAAATGAGAACATGAACAATTCCCAAGTTTTTTTGACGGATGAAAATAAATGCTGCTGCCTAATTACAGTCTTGAGATAATCTAATCCAATAAAGAATGCAAATCATTGATTATAACTAATCCTCTCGCTCTCTGCTGTCATGTACACCGAGGGAACAATTAACATTGAGCTTTGTAGGTTGTGCACCTGCAGAAAGATGAATGAGTCGAGTCCTTTGGATTAATCGCACTGAGAGGAAGGAAAAGGCAGGGTGGGAAGTGACGAGTGTGGAATCTTTAATCTACCCTACCAGCCTCAAAGTGACCAGACGGCAGCAGTACATTCATTCTGGTCCAATTAGGACAAATGGGTCGATGCTGGCAGCCTTTGTTTCCTTTTGCCTCGAAATGGAAAACAAAGAAAGCAGCTTATATGAAATTGTGTAAGAGTAAGGCAAAACGTGCATTAGTGTTACTGCTTTTAACTTGTAGTATCAAGAAGCATCATTGGTACAGCAGCCACAAAAAGGAAAAGCATTTGGAGAGAAATCATCCATTTGCAGCACTCAGCAGCGTCTGGTGAGTGCTGCAGCTTTGATAGACGCTCCTCAGAGCAGCTCCGTGTACGGAGGAGGCCGTTTGATCTGTTATGAGTGTCTTCTGTGTGGACAGAGGGAAGAAGACAGGAACACGAAAAACACAGACAAAAATAGCTCTGGGTTTGACTTTTACAGTTCTTAGAATTTTACTAAAATAGTTTAAGTAGAAAAGTAAGTGTGTGTGCGCCATAAAGGTAATTTTGAGAACAAGCTTGGGTCGCGGGGGCAGCAGCCTAAGCCGAGAGGCCCAGACGTCCCTATCCCCAGCCACTTGGGCCAGCTACTCTGGGGGAATCCCTCCAGCGTGTCCTGGGTCTGCCTTCAGGTCTGCATAGGACCCTAGAAGGCACCATATCAAATACAGGGCTTTTCCATTTAGTAGGAAGCCAGTCAGTTTTCTCCGTCCCACCCTTAATTATTGCCTAGTACACAATAATCTATAAAGTGTTAGAGATTAACAACCTGCCTATAAAATAGTTATTACCCATCTATGAGATGAGCCTCATTGCAATGCGGATTATACAAGGTATCTGCAGGTTTAAGGGAGCCAAATTTAAGACTTTTTAAGACCTTTTTAAGGCCACTTTGACTGAATTTAAGCTATAATTTCCAGCTATTGCCTGGAACCGGTGCTAATTAGCCATCCAGATACCATTAAACTTGCACTTCCCCATGGCGCGAGCTCCCACTAGCTTAACCAGCTAATGTGCTCATCTAAAAATAGCCCCCTTTCACAACCAGCCGAATGTGTACGGTTCCGCTTACGCCAGTATCACACACAAAAAATGCTGAACACTAACGAGAAATTCACGAAAATTTTATAGAAATAAAAGAATCTTGTTTATTGGGTCTTTGGTAATTTAACCCTTTGATGCATGAATTATGAAATCTTCAACCATGATTTTTATAACATTGTTTTCATTCATCTTTAGCTGTGAATGAAACAAATTTCAACAAATATTTTTTGTAAATTTTTATAATTTACAAATAATTTACTACAAGTCCACCTCAGTGGACAGCGTGCATTCTGAACATAAAATATGCTGGCTTGACTTACTGAAGTCCAAATGGAGGGGCTCAAATGCAATAAAGTCTTCAACAGCTGTGCTTAATAGCAAAAATAAATAAATACTAATTTTGAATACCTGTCCACTGTAGTGACCATTATGCATCAACGGGCTAAGACCTTTGGAAACTGGATTTAAGGATTATTTGTCATTTTTAAGGATTTTTAGGGCCTTAAATTTGGAAAAGCAAATTTAAGACTTTTTAAAGACCCGCGGATACCCTGTATATTTTCTCACAATTCATGTGAATTCCTCTACTTTTGAGTTATTTTTTGCTAGTTTTCCTAAATCAGAACGATTGCTCCTCTTGTCCTTTGATTCCCACACGTTACATGCTTGTAAAATGTAATCAATATTTTCATTTCCAGTTACCGACTCACCAACAGCATTCGGATGAGTCCTGGTGTCTGACTGGTTTGAAATAAAACACTCAACAGAACCAGACAGCAGAATTAAACATGATCTAAAACAACACGGGGAGCTGTTAAAGCTTGTGTTTTAGTGACGTGAATGCTAAACTCAGAAATGGAAAAGAACAAGACGAGTTCATCTGATCGCTTCGTTTTATTGAAAGCTTTGGAGAAGCTTAAGCAAAATAAAATAAAAAAGTACAAGCCAGAAATATCCCTCTAGTGACCCGCTGTGTTCAAATTGTATAACAGCTGCAGCTAAGAGAAAACAAGTGAAGACATGTTTCATTACTAGTTACTGAAATTATTTAACTTACAGCATTAGTAAAAAGAGCGTTGAGGGTTTAATTAAGGCAGAAAGCATAAGGCTGCATTTCAGACTGCTACTCTGTTAGCACAGTGTCAAAAGAGCTAAGCTGGCACAAAAGATGGATGCCATCAAGGAGAGTGGACAAATCAGCACGGATTGGGATAGTTTAACGTCCATTATTGGGATTTTGAGAGGTTGAGGACCAACAAACTGTAAGACAGAGAGGAAATTATCTCTGTCTGGCCCCAAAACAATTTCTAACCGGAATCTGGCTTCCTCGAGCCTGCAAGGCTCCAACGAAAACTCCCCCCTCAGAAGATATGTGGAATGTGCCGTCGCTATGGCAACTCAACTCTGTCTCCTATCCCAGCCTGGGCGGGACTGCGGGAAGGCCACTGAAACATTCCAGGGTCACTGCAACCCTCCAACCCTCAATGCCCCCCCCCCCCCCCCCCCCCCCCCCCCCCACCCATCCACACTGAGGTGACATGCGCTGCTTATCGTGGCTGCAGGAACTGAAGTGGGGATAGTCCCAACCCACCACCCCACCTAGTGGACACTTATGTTGTGTTGTCTGAAGTCTGTTGCATATCTGTCTGAGGTGTTTTTTTGCAGAGCAAAGGTGCCCTTCCGGTGGAGGGTAACTCTGAAGTGCCTTTTTTCCCTCCACCTGAACCAATCCTCATGTAAATGATAAATGACCCGCACTTGTATAGCGCCTCTCAGAGTAAGGACTCCAAAGCACTTTACACTACAGTGTATCATTCACCCATTCACACACTAATGGTGATGAGCTACGATGTAGCCACGGCTGCCGAGCACTGGCGCCACCGGTCCCTCCGACCACCACCAGCAGGCAAGGTGGGTTAAGTGTCTTGCCCAAGGACACAACAGCAGAATTCTCTGTCCAGAGCCGGGATCGAACCTGCAACTTTCCGATTACTGGACAACCCGCTCAATCTGTTGAGCTACTGCTGCCCCAACCCTCTTATCTCTATTAAGGTAGCGTGACTCAGGGTTGCGAATGACCACAGTCACCAATTCTTGTCATGTGTCTTGCCCATGTGTGTCTGATCTCTGAAACTCTAATTTCCCTCTGGGATTAATAAAGTATCTTTGATCTGTGTTTGAAATGTCCACTCTTTCATTATCTGTGTTGGAAATTATTACCGTGCTTTTGTTTTGGTATCATTTAAGTAGCGTTGATATGTTCTCCACTGCATCCAACACTGCGACCAGAGCCGACAGAGCACCCTAACAGCTAAAGTGATTGTTTAAGTCGTTGGAAATGCTGATGGATTTCTAGGCTGAGCTGTAATATGTCCGGTCGCCTCCTCTGGCTGCGCTGCAGGACTCAGGGAAACGTGTTTAAAATGACTGTTGTCAAACATTAAAGGTGTAAAGACCGCAACGTAAAAAAAATGAGTCACATTCTGACTGTTTTAATGTGATTTGACCGGATTTAGATGATATATGCACGTTGCAACTGTAAACGCTGCTGTTTTATGAAGAAACAATTCAAAGCTTGTTATTAAGGAAACTAACCTGCAAAATTTTGGACAAATCAAACCTCTAGAAACTGCCAAATATAATTTTAACAGAGCATTTCATCATTCGTTGAATTTTGTTTGACAACTTGATCATTTGCCAGTGTTACTGCTTTAAAACTGATTAAAGCAAAACCAGTTGTACAAATAAAGGCATTTGATAGGCCACTGTCCCACCATTTGCCCCCTATAAGGTATACCTATATACAGGGTATCTGCAGGTTTAAGGGAGCCAAATTTAAGACTTTAAGACCTTTTTTAAGGCCACTTTGACCAAATTTAAGCTATTTTTAAAATTAAATTTAAGCTATAATTTCCAGCTATTGCCTGGAACCGGTGCTAATTAGCCATTGAGCTACCATTAAACTTGCACTTCCCCATGGCGCAAGCTCCCACTAGCTTAACCAGCTAATGTGCTCATCTAAAAATAGCCCCCTTTCACAACCAACTGAATGTGTACGGTTCCGCTTACGCCAATATCATACACAAAAAATGCTGAAGACTAACTAGAAATTCAGGAAAACAAAATAATCTTGTTTATTGGATCTTTGGTAATTTAAGACCTTTGAAAACTGTATTTAAGGATTATTTGTCATTTGTAAGGATTTTTAAGGCCTTAAATTTGGAAAAGCTAATTTAAGACTTTTTAAAGAGCAAGTCACCCCCTACCAGAGTCTAAACACTTCATGTTTGAAAAATGCAACAAATGCCGTTGCCTAGCAGACCGAGAGGGCGGAGCTGCTAACCAGGGGCGGATTTAGGACTGAAGAAGATCCGGGGCTTAACACACGCGCGCGCGCACACACACACACACACGTGACACGCACTAGTCAACATCATATATGTATATATATTTGTCTTGTACCACATAATTTTTAATCTGAAGCTACATATTAAGCATTTTCAGGACAGAGTATTGTTCCTGTTAGTGTTTAGTGTGAGATGATAGTAAATATTCCCTTTCTTTCTCCATCAACTTTACCTGATAGTAAGCTAACTTTAGGCAAACCAGCAGCACAACAAATATTTTCTAATAAGACTCACAAACCTGAGTCAGCACCAGTCTCATCAAAGCTGGGGTTCTGTCATTGTACTTCTGGTCTAAAAAACGTCCTTATGTCCATCTTCACTCATGTGTTTCAGGCAGAGACTGTAGAAGAAGCCGGCTGCTGAAGGGCTTCTTCTTCAGTGGTGGAGGCTCAGGCAGGCTGTATACAAACTACTGCCAACAACGCCCTCTCTGTTGGACTTTGGTACTGCATGTTACTTCCGCGATTTAGATCCGGGGCTTATCATGAAAGATCCGGGGCTTCAGCCCAAGTAGCCGGGCCTAACGCCGCCCCTGCTGCTAACAAATACGCACACACACAGGTTCACGACAGCATTGTGACATCATAATGTACCAGTTTACATCATAGCATACCTCTTAGCCAATAGTGGTGTCAGATTTAAATTCAAATACAGTGCAGAGTTTTTACCTGACAACGGCACAACACTGATAGTTTTAGGCAGAATATTTAAATTTTAACTAAGATGCACTGAAGTGCCAAATTGTTGACTACATGTGTCTGCAGCACGATTAGACACACATTTATATAGTTTATCAGAAAAAAAAGTTGATTTGGGGGTGACTTGCTCTTTAAGGACCTGCAGATAACCTGTATATAGTGTACACCATGTAGTGAGTGAGCAAACATTTTAAACACAGCCCTGGATTCAGGATCTTCTTCATCTCCCCAGGGATGCTGACCACCCGCAACTGAAGAGCGAGAACTTTATTCACCTGTATGTAAAAAGTTAATAACCGATTTGGAAAAATCTACAACTTAAACAGGTTCTCTCCTTTTCAAATCAGTGATCGAGCATTAATTTCCACCTAAAAACAAGCCCGAGATGAGCAGTAACAGCTTTCCCCTACAAGACTCGTCACCGTGACTAAGTGACTATTAAATAGGCAAACGGGTCAGAATTCATCAAGTCAGGAACCGATGAAACTAAAAGCGTCTGGCGTTAGCATTAAGACTGGAGATGTTGCCCTAAGATGAGTGAAATGCCAAAAACTCCTAAGATGTTAATGCAACTTCAGTTTTGTGAGGTGTGAAAACGAGAAAGAAATGCAAAACAGTTTTTGGTTATTAAAGTGCTCTGACACACCATCTATTAGCAGCAGTACGTACGGTATATACATAGAAATGTGCGTCAGCACTCTTACAAATCACTTAAAAATCCCACCAACTGAATTTAATAATAAAGGGAAAAAAAGCCATCGTTCTCTCAGTAGTCACTTTCCTCCTAAAGTAAAATAAAAAAATATCATCATGCAGATCATGACCCTTACTTTACATACGTACAAAATTACATTTCTGTTTCCTCATTTAAGAATTAACACTGTAAACACTTGTTTCGGTCCTTCAGATAGATGTTTTGCTCATGCTTTTTGCTACAACCTGTGATGTTATTCCCACACATTAAAACAAAAAAGCTGAAGTCTAGCACTTGCAGATCTTTGTCCTAAACTTCCCAACAGTTCAGTTTCAATCCTCAAACCACCCACCAATTTTAAAACCATGAAAAATTCAGAAACTAGAAGAAGTAAGTGGAAGCTCTAGTGTGATGTGAGGGTGCTTTAAACAGATTTAAGCACCCGCGGAAATCCTATTCATAAAAAAATAAGATGCGAGAGAGAGTTGGACAGGGCGGGTTAGCTAAGGGCAGCTGGCGAGGTTAGATGTGGATACAGATAAGGCATAGCATGGGTGGGGGTTGGGAGGGTCTGGATAAGGCAGATTGTTAGCCTTTTTTTTATTTCATTTCAAAACATCAGTAGAGCTCTGCTAAGGTGGTGAGGGACTGTAGATGTGACTCAGAGGCCTTGAAGAAACTCCTGGAGTTGCCGAACGAGCTCCGTATCCACAGTCTCCATCAGGGCGCCGAAGCTCTCGTCCCCCAGCAGCGCTTGCTGAGCCTTTAGCTTGTCGTAGACAAACTGCTGGAGAGAGACGCTATGCACCGGGTCCTCCAGGGCCAACTGCAGCAGGGCAAAGGAAACAGAAAGGCCAAATCAGTCAGGAGCATACATGTCAAACTAGCGCTAGTGGAAATAAAGAGAATGGATCACATAATCTATTTATAGTTTAGCTTCAACACAAGATTAACACTAGTGTAAGTGACATTTTCATTTTTCATGCACTGAGGCAGGGAAATAAACCACTAATTTCCAAGTGATATTCATCAGTCCAAAAGTTGACAATAGGTGATATATTCACGCCGGAGACATTTAGATGTTCTGACACGCTGTATGGAGCGCTCCACCAATCAGAACTGTTCTAACTCGTTTTGTGGAAGAAGGCCATGAGGGTTCCATGTGGGACTTTGCTTTCCGAACTTCATTGGCTAGTTGGCGCGTTAACCAACTATAAACTGTGCTGCAGCTGGTCTGGGCTACACGCAATAATAGAAGGTGGTACTTCCATCCTGTCAGCCCACAGCTGATGATTATGCCCCACCGGAGGGAGGGCAACCCTTCACTTATTAGTTCGGGACGATGTCACTCAAAGGTTTGAAGCTAACATTTGGATTTGGATGTAGCTCAAGTTCTTTATTGTATAATAGCATGCATGCAATACACGTTCCTGCAGCCATTACCTCTTGGGAGTTTCTTTCCTCCCTTGCAAATTTACTTAAGCAACACACCGGTTTCATTAGGGGTTTTAAACAGATTTTTTAAATAAAATCAAAACAAGTGCCGTAGATGGCTGCCCCCCCCATTGGAGTCTCATGTTATGTTGTCTGAAGTCTGTTGCATATCTGTTGAGGTGTTTTTTTTTTTTTTGCAGAGCAAAGCTACCCTCCTGGTGGAGGGTAACTGTGAAGAGCCTTTCCCCCCCCCCCCCCCCCCCCCGTCCACCTCCTCATGTAACCCTCTGATCTCTATTAAGGTAGCGCCACTCAGGGTTGCGAATGACCACAGTCACCAATTCTTGTCGTGTGTCTTGCCCATGCATGTCTGATCTCTGAATTGTGTGTACTGAAACTCTAATTTCCCTCTAGGATTAATAAAGTATTGATCGATCGATTGATTGAATAATCAGCTGGTGATGGAAACTGACCGGTATTCTACACAAGCAGTTTAACCAGTGTTTGGCCAGTCTGGACTTTAAGAATCAGATTTTATTTTATTTTTTAATTGTTTGGTAAAAATAACCATCAAATAGCTGTATTTCATACTAGAAATATGAAAAGCAATAAAATCTTCTGTATAGATGTTTTCACCCGGAATCAGTTGACTTCAATTTGCCAAAATGCTACTAAAACTGACAAATGAAGACAGGATAGGTTACAAAATTTAAATGATTAAAGACAAAAAAAATTAATAAATAAATCCTAATGAGTGAAAATGAAAGCACAATTTTCTGGTTGCTGTCCGTTCGCTTTCACCCACTAATCAGAGTCGGGGTAGAGCTCCAGCTTACAGGCCCAACCCACACTTTGCCCTACAAGCTCCCGCCCCTCCAAAAACTTGCATCCACACCACCGCGTTTAAAAAACAAACTCTGTCCACACGTACCCGGATAAATACGTTGTTAAGGACATGCCAGACCTGTAGGCGGCAGTACTTCCCCCGTTCTTAACCTCGTCCTTCGTCTGTGGTCTTCCGCAAGGAGCAGTAATTCCGCTTGCAAAAACAAACAAGCAACAAGCGCTTGGACAATTGATGGATCGGGTAGTGACAGAGCGCAGCTCTGAGGGCTTCCATGATGCCGGCTAGTGTAAACACAGGTCGCACACGTGAAGTCAGAATTTTTTTTGTCGTGGAAAGTGATGTTGCGGACCTTAAAACTCCGGTTTTGTCTGTCCACACGCAGACACCCAAAACGGAGAAAACGCAGATCTTCACTTTGGCCGGAGTTTTTAAAAAGATCCGTTTTCGTGTGAAATAACTCCGTTTTCGTGTGGATGACAGGCCAAAACGTAGAAAAATATCTACGTTTTGGCAGATCCCCGGCTACGTGTGGATAGGGCCTGAGACACTATGCTACCTAAGGTAGGACCTCTGCCCCTACCTGGATTTAGCACTTACTGCTCTTTTTACTCACCTTTTAAGTTTTACCATGTCTAAAAGTAAAAATCTGCTAATAAATATTGGATTTGTTTGTTTTCTCATAGACTGGAAAGGTTTCCTGATGTCAAAAAGTATTAACAGCCTTCCAAAAGTCATGAAGAGGATACTAACGTGTTTGGGTCATTGTAGAAGAATATATTATTTATAAAACTACAATACTCAATACATTTATGTCAAAAATGACAAAGGTCTACGATACGGAAACCATGACCTTGACCAGTAAAGTTCCAATACTTTCTGAGCCACTTTTGACAAAGTGATGCAGGAATCAACTCGGTCCCGTCACCATTTCCAACCCTGACATGTACATCTAACAAAGAACTTGGAAAATGATTCAGTATTTGCAGCTACAGCCATTCATCTTCCAGCAAGGAAAGCACTGGGAAAACAATCCTTCACAATAAAGTAAAAAAAATGGCGAGAAGAGTTGGATGGCTGACTGGAGCAGATAGATTTCTGAGTGTAAGCACGCAGTCATTTATTTTCTGTGAAGTGAAGCAAGGACAAAGGCAAACAGCACAGCAGAGGTGGATAGCCTCCACTCTGCAAATAAACCCCGGGAGAATGTGAACATCATTCGACAAATAAAAACTTCTCAACAACTCATTTTTAAAAAGTAAAGCTGTAGAAGACGTGCTCATATTTAGTTCAGATCAAGTCTATGATGTGAAATATACCTTCTGTTACTGTGAATAATACCTGCATGTTCTTTTCAACTGAGCTTGTTTTACTAAAGGTCCATTGTTGTCAAAACCTTTTAAAAGCAGGTCAGAGTGATACACTCCACACGCAGAAACCTCCTCAGGCAATGGGTGAGCATGCAATGAGAGGAAACTCAATTACTGCCTTAGCGAGACTAACATTGTACTTTTGACATGCATGTATACACCTTAGTCCATCTGAAGTCAAACCAAATGGGCCAACTCTTAATTGAACTAAGGGACCCAGAACAGCCATTTAAAGGTCAAATTACAGGCTGTTTTTTATAGACTTGCTACAGACACTTCCAGTGTGCAGGTGCCAGCTTGAAACCGGTGAAGTCCAAGGTTGAAGCGTTCAAATTGGGTGCTTGGGAGGAGCTGACATTTTAAGAGAGACTGGAGTGAATCTGACATGTGACACCATCAAACATTACAGTACGTGCTACATGTTCTTGTCGTCCATTTCTTTGGTCATTGAGCATATCCTGTTATCTACAGTAAATCCACACCCCGCCAGTTTACTATTTGTGTGATTCAATTCAATTTTATTTATATAGCGCCAAATCACGACAAGAGTCATCTCGAGACACTTCACATAGTAAACATTCCAATTCAGGTCAGTTCATTAAGCCAGTCAGAAAAAATGTTTCCTATATGAGGAAACCAGCAAATTGCATCAAGTCACTGACTAGTGTCAGTGACTTTACAGCAATCCCCATACCAAGCAAGCATTTAGCGACAGTGGAGAGGAAAACTCCCTTTTAACAGGAAGAAACCTCCAGAGGATCCTGGCTCAGTATAAGCAGCCATACAATCCAATCCAATTTATACCAGAGCTGCTCTGACAGGTATAAGGGGGCTAGACCATTCAGGACTTTGTAGGTAAAAGTTAGAACTTTGTGTTGAATTCGAAATTGCACAGGAATCCAGTGTAGATCATCCAGAACGGGAGTGATGTGACAGTTTATTTGCATTGGAAAGAAATCTGGCTTCAGCATTCTGGACTTTCTGCAGACGATTTAGGACAGATACATTTACACCAATTAGAACTGAGGTGGAAAAGTCGAGTCTGGAAGTGATAAATGCATGAATAACTGATTCTAAGAGGGGCCTCTTAAGAATGAGCTTTAGTCGGGCAAGGCGACGAAGCTGTTAGAAGCAGGATCGAACAGTGGCATTAACGCCACCACGACTCACTGGGGATCGAGAAGACAGACAGACAGACACACACACACACACACACACGCACGCACGCACGCACACACACACACACACACACAAACACACACACACACACACCAAGCAATGTGTCTATGGTTACATTATGATGTCTTAGTAAATATTCTATTTGGTGAGAGATAAACTTTATTGTATTTATCCTAGTGAATCTATAATTAAACGGGTAAACTAGCAGTAGCACATTCCACGTCAAGGAAAGCAAAAAGTTATTATCAGGAGAGAGAGAATGTTTAAGTGATTAGCAGCAGTGTGCTAGCCGATGGCCCCCTCCATGAGGCCACCACAGCTCAGCAGATCCAACGGTCCTACCAAAAGAATGCCATCACAAAAGAATCACCTATTGTAATGAAGTCGAATGCACTTCAATCAATAATCTGATTCTAGGACGTGTAAACTAGGATGAAGGCTCCCATTTTCGTTGAGGCATTAGCTCTTAATACAATAGCTTGATTTAGATTCACATGTAAGCACACTTGATGTAATTGATCATCTCACGCAAATATGACAATCTGGATATCTCTCACTCACATACACTGAAGACCTTCAAAAACCCTTTAAAGGGCAGGAAGAGGAAGGAGTATAAATAAGTACCTAAACACAAAAAGAGAAGTAGAATGTTGTAAAGACTATTTAGTCACTAATGGATCAGAGGAAACAATACTTGTCATGCTAACAATCTCTTAAGTCATCACAGTGCTATATAATGTGCGAAGGATGGCTTTACTGTCATCTAACTTGCATAATTACCTTCCTTCAGCACCACTAGGTAGAATGTGCATCTTTTTATCAACAGAAATGCGTTCTCCTTTGCTGTGTGTGAGTCAGTGGGTGATTGCAGCATGCAACCAACTTTAGCATCTGCACTGGAGCGACAAATAAAAGCTTTTTTATGGCCTCTTAATCACAAAAACAACATTAAAAAAGAGCATTTTGCTGAATTAGTAGCACAATAGGTTGTTGTTGTTT